TTTTTTTTTTTTTTTGTTGCTTTAACTATTGTCACTGCTTAACGATGACAATAATTTGTTGAATCACATTGAAGTATATAAAAAAAAAAATATCTGTACTACAAGTTTCTGTTGTCATTGTTGTACCTCTGTCTTCAGCTATCAATTTTAGCAGCTTAACAAAAAGGTAAAGGTTGGGGGGATAAGATGGAAATGGAAATAAATATGAAGAAGAATTTTTCTATTGCAACAATGTTTTTTTTATTTTTGTACAATAAGTTATGTAAAAAAAAACGAAATTTTTCAACAATAATTCTGCTTCTTCTTTCTATTTTCTATTCTCACTTTTTTATCAAATTCTTTCTTTTATTTTTACCTATATTATATTGTGCCATTAATACTCTGAAACAGTCTATGTTAGACTGAATTAAACAATCCGCGATTGATACAGAGACTTATGATAAGTTCATAAAGTTCTTACTTAAAAATCTACAAAAAGTAATCGGGATATTGTTTTTGGAAGTATTGCAGTTAAGTTATCACATTTGTCAATGACGTAATTTTTTTTTTTTTGCAGTAATCAAATGTAAAATTTGTTTTCTTAATACGAAAAAAGCTTAAAAAAATTTGCAGAAGTAAAGAAAAGATATAAATTTTTTTTGTCTATATATTTGTTTCAACGTTTTTTTTCAGCATTGTTTTTTTAAGTTTTATTGTTTAAAGCGTAAAAAGAATCACTAATGAATCACTAATTTATATATTTGTTTCTTCTTTACTTTTTTGCTTTGCTTTGCTTTGCTTTGCTTTGCCTTTGTAATTTAAACTTTATTTCAGGCTAAAAGTTTTGAATTCATTAAAGAAATATTTTATCAAAAAAAAACTAGCTAATCTATGAAATATAAGGAAGTATATTGAGTGTTGACACTTTTTTTTGTCGGCTAAGCATTAAGGAAGAAAAAGGAGAGAGAGAGGAAGAAATTTTTTTTTAGCAGAAACTTTTGTACGATCAGTTTTTCAGATAATTTAACAAAACTGTGGCAGATTTGTTGAATTCTTAAGTTTATAAAATTTTTCTTGACTTTTTTTTTAAAATTTTAACTCAGTTTTTTTCACCTAATTTAAAGTTAAGAAAAACAGCTGATATTAATGTCAATTTTTGGTCGAATACCCCAAAACTTTTACAGCAGTGTACACACACACACAGAAAAACACACAGTTACTGTTATAGTTTTAGTTAGTTTTTTTGCCTTTGTTCAATAATCG